CATCACTGCCATCGGCACCAAAACCTGTTTTATCTCTGCACACTAGTTAACTAAATAAATAGTCCCATTCTGGATGAAACGAGACATGTTAACCCAGTCATCACTAATTTGCTGACAGATCCAGGGAAACACTAAAAGCTTATGTAAACCGGAGGACGGAAATAAGGTGGACAAAATACTTGGTTTGAATGGTTGTACATACGTTTTGCCTAGGCATGTTGCAACGAGGATGTGTTTGTTCTTTGTTGTCAGAGAGGTGTGGCATCAAAGGGCGGTACGATCACTAAATGTTCTTTTTACGGAAATGCAGGGAAAGTAATGTAATGTTTCTTGCGATTTATTTCCTGTTTTCCGTACGCTTATGAACCCGATAGGACGTTTGATAAACACGCAGTGCGCGCTAATATCGGATGTTGAGATCTTTCTCCTTATAAGAAGTAGGCAGTGACGTTATTTCTGTGGGAGTCAAGTACGCCACGTTGTATTTTATGGAGAGAAATCTCACCAGGGGAAAATCCATCACGTTTTGGAACAGTGCCATTCAACACAATTTAAATGACAGTTTAGTATTGGCAATGCTTCTGTAAGACCGGCTTCTCGTACGGCTGATGGCAGTCACGGCACACATACTATTCCGATGGCTCATTGGAAAGCGTAGGCAGGATCCATCATTAGCCATTAGGGCCAGCCTACTCGTCAGAACTAGAACTACAGAGAGTGGGTTGAAACGTTGAGTAGGTGCAAGAGGATCTCAGATCATACGCGCTATCTTTGTCCGAGCATATAATTCACAGACCAGTTGGGTGTGGCTGGCAGGTAAGTGGGACGTTTATTGGAGCTAAAGCTTTATTAAGAGGTGGTTCCAAAAGTGAATGAAACTGAATGGAATTATTCCAGTCGCTAGAGTATACTGATGGAACAGCTTGCTGTGGTCTTTGGAACCAGGTATGGTCGAGCGCCGTACTACAGACCACAGACCGTTTATTGCCAAAAGGTTTGAAGGCTTCTGCATATTGCATTGGTAAGGTGGGTGCGGTATCCAAGGTGTAGCGCGGCCAAGCATATTAAGCATCTGATATTACATGGGAAATTATCTATTGTCTAATGGTGGACGGAGCATAACGCCATGTCATGGCAAGTAAGTTGACCACTTGCAGGGAGATGAAGCTGTGTTCATCTTCTCGATCCCATATTCGCAAACGTTTACTCTTCTTCACCGAACTTTTTAAAGCTGGTTTCATCATCATCATTTTAGGCTTACGAATACCTATTAAATGTAATAAAATTTATCGCATATTTTTTGGAAGAGCTTGCATCAAGACTTATTTGAAGCGGCTCACGCTTTTACCAGCGCGTCCGACAGCACTTGTTTTTAGACACGTAGGCGGGTCTCGAGGGACCTTCCCACGACGCTCCTTAGCGCTTTCTCAACACGCCCAAACGCATCCGGATCGTAACCCCATGAGACGCCGGGTTCTTTTCCTTGTTCATTCTCTTGGATTGTTTGCGTCACAGCTTAGCTGATCTGTTGACCTATCACTTACCTTCACTGGCCCATAGATACACTCATCGACCCTATAGGCATACACTAGTGACAAAGCGTCCGATTGGAATAGCTGCATCTGGCGACTGAGTCATTCCTAGCGCCAACATCTGTCGGTCGTCATAAATTCGGCATTTCTCTTCAGAAGTAGCTAATGGCCATCGGCCCCATGCATATGCGATGATCCAGTGCTTGTTAGGAGCCACCCCGTATCTGATTAACCTCTACTCCTCTAGAATATCTGCATCCAGTCCCTCCGCTGCCCTGCCACCAATTGAGCTTTAAGACTCTCTCGCAGCAACCTATTTATTTTCGCTTATTATGCCCCTCTCTCGGATTACACTAACTACGTGCTGTTCATGCACCTGACAATAACTACCAACATTCTAACTCTCTTTGCTCTATCCCCACGCAACTATCGACTCATATCAAATGGATACTCGTACCTTACTTACTGGTGCAACGCTCTTGTCCCTACGTAGGCGATAGCAATCCACCTATACGGCTAATGATTCTATAGGATACTCAAAAGACATTTTCAGCATAATTATTGTTGCACAGTGTACATGCTTTTGTCTCCAGCCCAAATGTTATAACACAAGACACTAACAATATTCAATTCCATGCCTGTTCTTGCGGTCTTCTCTCGGTTGTCTCCCACTTTCCCTTTTCTCTGAGGTCCGGGACATCTTGGAGATCTGGGATTGGACTGAGGAACAATTTTGCCCAAGACGGACGGAACAACCCACAAGGACTGACATGGAGGATAGTAAAACTCCGCAAGGACCAACCTACAATCATCATAACCCTTGTCCAGTATGGAGAACTGGACACATCCTCATACTCCCATACATTATACATCTGAAAAATCTGAACAGCGGAAATATTGAAACTTTTGCTCACCTGGACATACAACAAGAAGAAAAATCGCGATGTCCCTCTCCTCCAGCGACCCCAAAAAATCATGGCGACCCAGAGCAAAATACCCGTCCAACTAACAGAGGAAATTAGAAGCCATTACCCCGCGAAAAACCGAATGTGAAACCAGTCGTCAAGCGGCTTTGCCAGTTCAACATTAATGTTCAAAATGCTTTACGGCAGTGTTGCAGGACGTGGTGGGTTTTCGCCTGGCAAGCGTTCTCCCTATAAAAAGCCACATATGTCTGTTTAACAACACTGCGACGTGGCGGATGTGATTCGCCACTGAATAAAGTCACAGCCCACAACTACGTACTGGCAAGTCGACTAGATTCACATATCAACTCCTCTTGACACCGTTTCAACTATACACGATTGAACCCGGAGTATCGTCGTGATACACAACAGTTTTAAACCTTGATCATGCTTAAGTTGGTGCGTCTCTATGAAGCTGAGAATAAACTATCTATTTATTTATTTTACCACGAACATACCACCAATTTTCTACTATTGCTGTCACGGTTGCCATAAAATATTTGTACAGTTGTACATATCTGATCATGCCTCCATGGGCGTGCCTCGCATAGTCGAGAATAAAGTATTTATTTATTTATTTATTTATTTGAATATGGTTTCGCGTTTATCCTGTCCTTAAATAACTACTTAAGGTTTGTTGCGACACAGTTGCCAGACCTAGTGCCTGCGAACCACCAGACCAATATGTGCACAAATTTCAGGCACTGACATGAAGGGTGAAAAATTGAGTGCGTATGCCTCGAGCGCGATAAACACACCAAGTAGGAGAGCAGGCCTTTTGCAGTACACTAGTAAACCGGCCTCGGTAATGCATACCAGGCTTCTTTGCGTATACTGTTTTGGGGGTCGTAAACGCCTACCGTAGGTTTCACCTGACATCTTCAGGCAACCTTTGTGCTCCTTGAGGTTATTAGTGGCAAAATGGCGCGCAGGTTCATAATTACGCACAATTTTTCTACCGAAGGTTCACTTCTCCACGATCTTCACTCCAAGTTTTTAGTACCTTTTCGGGGCACTCAGCAGTCCCATTTGATGTTTGACTCATAAAAAGCAATAAGAGCAGCGGAATTAGAATCAACGAGTGAAAGGCTAAGTCATTTACAGATATGCAAACAGAAATTAAGTGTAGTTCAAAAAGGCAGTGTACATAACTAGGAATTGCGAATTTACATAAAATATAACCAACAGCCTTTACGCTAACTGGTGGTCACAGGCGCAACGTTCAAAAAAGCATAAATTTCTGAAACCAATACTATTTCAATCTAGCGTATTGCATACCATTGTGCAAAATTATATTGCTTAAGGCAAGTTTTACCTGCTGGTTACAATTAATGTAAACTTATGGTAATACTTACAGCAGTTCGCGAGCTACTCGCCATTATTTATATTTTGCTAAAATGGTTTTAGGTTTTGCAAGCTGATGGAGAAAAAAGAAAGGCAGGTGTAAAAGTAGCGAAACGTTATAAATCCTAAACAGCGATGGTTGGCGGCATCCGGTTTTGGATTTGCCTGTCACTGTGGCAAGCCACAGGACGCCTGCGCTTACAGAGGGAATATGGAAGGCTTGCGCTGCACCACCCACAGCTCCAACCACACACCCCATATCCAGTGTAAACCCAAAGGAATAAGACCGGGAGGCATGCGGATGGGAGCCACGTTTCATCAACGGAGCCGGCCCACACTCCTTCACAGGCAAACACAAGCACGCTGTATTTGGGGAAATTAAGCGCGCACAAGGCGGTCGCCGGACCGTAGTCCGCGCCACACTGACTGCATGGAACCACTCTTTGATCCAACACGGCCACAAGGACCGTGAACCCTGTCCCCTCCAGTAACGACCAACTGTCTCCTGGAGCCAGTATGGACGAGGTAGTGAGTAATAGACAGGTAGGCACCTTGTCAACATGTACATCAAGCGCAGCCACATCAGCGACATCAAACAACAACCAAACACTTGAGAGAAAAGAGAGAAAGAAAAAGAGAAAAACTCGATTAATGCTTAGGGAAACGGTTACATATACCTTAATTTAATGAGCATATGTAATAAGTTGTTTACAAACAAATCCTAGATAAGTGCACGAGGTCAGAAAGTATAGTTCACGGAATGCCACTAACACAAATATGCTACAGAAATCGAATACAATTGGCTTAAACGAGGAGTGCAAGTTAATGGAATAGAGTACACGCAGATATTTTACGAGAAAGCAAAGCATTAAGGCAAAATTGAAAACCCACCACCTGAAATAAAGAGACTCAACATGCAAGCACGCGGTTAGTAAATCGAATTCAGCGTGCCTACAAACGCTGCGCCGGCTCGGCGTACTTCTCTGCAGGACCCGTCGTCGCTTCTGTAGGGATGTCCCTAGTGACCTAGCTCATGGCCCACCAGACATTTAGATGAGAAAGAAAGGCATTAGAAGAGAACCGAAAACCCACCACCTGTAACAAAGAGTCTTAGCATGCACGCACGCGGTTAGTAAATCAAAAATCGAAAGCAGCGTACCTACAAACGCTGCGCCGGTGCTGCCTACGTTCACTGCAGGACCCGTCGTCGATTCGCCAGTGGTCCCGAGTGACCTCTCTAATGGCTCACTAAACCTGCCGGACTAAGGCACTCGTGACCGCACGTTCTACAGCACCATGCGCGCGATGTCGATGGAGTACAATTCATCGGTGCTTGCCGCTTCCGCACTTGCCTCTTCATCTCTGCATGCATGAGGGCTTTCTTCCGCACTTCAGCAACTGCCTTCGTGCTTAGATCGCGCCATGCACCGCGAACAACCACCTTCGATTCCCATCATCTGCAATCAAGATTAGAACGGGTGTGGCTCACTTTGATCATGTCCTGGTAACGTAACTTTGGTTTCCCAGCATGCCGCTTCCCAATACTCAGCTGACCGTATAAGAGTTGTTTCGGTATCCGTGTCGAATCCATACGACTCACATGACCTAGTCTCAATAACAGTATGCAGTCCACTGCATACATCACACTTCGGCGCAACACTTCCGTGTCTGCAACTCTGGCGCCCCAGCCGATGCGCAAAATTCGTCGCAGACACTGCTGATGAAACCGTTCGAGGTATCGCACATCCCGACGGTACATCGTCCACGTTTCACTGCCGTATAGAAGAACGGACAGTACCATGGATTTGTACACCATCAGCTTTGTGCCAATTCTAAGCTGATGGTTAATCCACACTCGGTACTCAAGCTTCCCGAATGCCGCTGCCGCCTTCGACACGCGAATAGGCAACTCAACGTGTAGCTGCTGATCAGTCGACAACACACTCCCAAGGTAGCTGAAACGGTTGGTGGTTTCCAATACTTCAGCACCAATGCTGATTCGCGGCAATATTGAAGATTGCACCTCCGGTGAAGGCTGAAAGAGACAGACAGTTTTGCTTGTGTTGATGGTGAGCCCGAATTTAACCGCTGTCGAAACCAGAGCACTAGTCATGTGCTATAACTCATCCGCGCTATGTGTAAATAACACACAGTCGTCAGCAACCAGCAACCTACGAATAGTGGTCTCACCGACTAGAGTTCTCGCACCGAAACGACGAATGTTCAGCAATCCACCATCAATACGGTGCTCCACACGAACACCGTAAGCACAAGCCGCATCAAATGCACAAGACAACATTGCATGAAGATATATATAAACAGGGCAGAAGCTAAGACACAGCCTTGCTTCACACCACAGACGACTGCAAAGTCATCCGAGGTCTGTCCTCTCAGCTGCACCATCGCTCGCATACCACTGTGCAGACATTCAATTAAACTTACAAACACGCGGGCAACCAAACTTACCCAACACCAGCCACAATGCCTCGCGGTTCACCATATCAAATGCTTTGGTGAAATCAAGAAAAAGTGAGTACAATGGCTGGTGTCGTTCTCTGCACTTCAGCTGCAACCGACGAGCCGCAAACACCATAGCTATAATGCTGCGACCCTAACGGAATCCACACTGCTCTTCCGCCACGTTAGGTTTTACAACCAGACTGACGAGGCGGTTGAGCAGGATTCGGGCAATCACCTTGCCCACACAACTCAGCAAGTTGATGCCACGATAATTCGTGCAACATTGCTTGCTACCTTTGCCCTTGTACAGTGGTAGCACAAGGGCATCCTTCAGATCAGCAGGCACCTCCTCATCAATCCACACGCGTTGTACCAAGTGGTGCAGCGCAGTCAACAACGCGGGTCCACCGCGTTTCAATACTTCAGGCGGGATCCCGTCGGCTCCGGCACACTTGCCGTTTCGCAGCTGAGCAAGTGCTCTCTGCGTCTCATCCAGTGTCGGCGTATCCGCCAGATCCGCCTTCACATCGTGCTGCTTCAGGCCGTTCAACTTAGGCCAGTCGATCTCTGAACGGTTGTTCAAGAGACAGTCAAAGTGTTTCCGCCACATCTGCATTATGTCTGCAGCCTGGGTGCAGGTAGCGCCTAAACTACTATCGATCGGCGTCCTCAGCGGCTCCAATCTCGGTCCATACACCGCCTTCAATGAGTCAAAGAATTCCTTGTATTGACGGCGTTTGGCGTAGCATTCCATCTGCTTCGCCTTTCCCGTCCACCATGCATTTTTAATGCGACGGAGCTCTCGTGTCACTCTCCGTCGAAGTTTGTGAAACTGACTACTCTGCCCCAAGTCACTGGGGTCTACCATGTGTGCAGCAAATGCTGCATTCTTCTCCGACATCAATAAGCCGATCGTCGCATTGTTGTCATCAAACCAATCAGGCCGTTTACAGTTTGCGCGCCCGATGGTCTCCTCAGCAGCAGCTGTCACCTGATCGCGAATGTGGTGCCACAGGTTGCCCACTGTGGCTCTACAGTCCACATCACCACACAGGCGTGCAGCCATCGCCTTCTCCAGCTCAGTACGTTTCGCCAAAGTACCGAGGGAGAGAACGTTGAATTTACGCCGATTCACGGCGGGAGTGCAATACATAGATTTACGAAAATATATGTACAGTTTGGTCTGCACCAACTTGTGATCAGTGCCACACTCAGCTCCACGCAGTACACGGGTCATGCGCACCTCACGCATACCACGCTGACGTGCGATGACATAGTCGAGCAGGTGAGCGTGACCACTCCGTGGGTGCGTCCAAGTTGCTATATCACTCGCACTCAGTGCAAACCGAGTGTTCGTGATCGTCAGGCCGTGAGTGGCGCACAGTGAGAGCAGCCTGTCACCGTTCGCATTCGCTGAACCAATGCCAGGCGAACCGATAACATCTGTCCACACCGATGCATCACGCCCAACACGCGCGTTGAAATCACCCAGCAGAAATAGTCGGTCGCTCCTCGGCATAGACCGTATCACGGAGGATAGCTCAGTGTAGAACTGAGCACGCGTGTCATCAGGATAACACATGGTCGGACCGCATGTGCTTATAAAATTAGCAAACTTACATCTTCCGAGTCGTAGGCGAACAGTCATCAGTCGCGCGCTGATGCCCGTTGGTTCACCCACCAGCTGGCCATTCAGGCGATCGGATATTGCAAATCCGACCTCATGTTCACTTGGTGCTGAGGCGGCGTTGCCCACCCAGTAGAATGTGTAGCCAGCACCTGTTTCATGCAACTTACCTTGTTCAGCGAGCCGAGTTTCACTGAGCGCCGCAATATCGATGTGGTAAGGCGCCAGCTCCATCGCGACCAGTGCAGTGCGTCGCTCCGGGCACTCGCTCGTGTTCCGGTCCAGTAGTGTGCGCACCTTTCAGCACCGGATTCTGTGTGCTTTGCGCGCAGACATACGATTGAATTGGTGGGCAATCGCACGCGAGGTGTCGTTGTGCTTCGGAGGTTTGCTTGAGGGACTCCACCCGCAGCCTTTAGCTCAATAGCCTGACCCACAAGGCAGTGGGTGATTTGGAGGTTTGCTTGAGGGACTCCACCCGCAGCCTTTGGCTCAATAGCCTGACCCACAAGGCAGTGGGGAGCAGATCCAGCTCGGGAATGTGATTGCAGAGACAGATGGGGATCTGCTTGACGGCCGTCACACGCAGCCTTTGAGGTACTGGAACAATTATTATGTGTTTTGCGACCGTAATTGGATACGCACCTGCGACCACGGCCAGACGCAGGTGGGTTTTTGGCGGGTTTGCACCAATTTGATCAGGGGCTGCCTGGCTTGTGGCGGGCAGTAACAAACCATTGAACACCCGGAGGTGTCCTCCCACCGTCAGAGACAATGCGTGGCACTCGTGCTCTACGCCAATCGCGCTGTGAGCTTGTAACCCGTAACCTGTTGTCTCCCATGGCTAGGTTTTACGGGAAGTGGGCCATCGACCACTACGTAACCTCCGAAGAGGATGGACTCGGATACATCCAGGGCGCCCACACCTGACAGGAGAACGACTCGGGTCCTCAGCCAAAGCCTTCGATTAAATGAACACCCGAAAGGCAGCGGGTCCAGCACATGGTCAGTTAGCCGACTCATGCGGATTGGTGTCCTGGATCTTAGCAGGGAGAAGCGCGAAACCCAACGCCCACCCAACGGTAGCAACGTGGAGGCGCCCAGGACATGAGACTATGGCGCAACAGTAGCAGCAGTGGGTAGGCCATCTGCCAGGACCTAGCCGCCACCAGCCTCAGCGCACTATAGGCTCTCCCGCCCAAACATTGATACATACCTAGCAACGTACAATATAACTTAAAAGTGGACGCAGTAACCGGGTACGGCTAGTTGGTCGAAATCATAGGTCCCGGGTGCATATGGCAAAAGATCGGCCAAAATATGGTAATGATACGCGCATGTGCTCGGTAGCCAGTAGGAAATGTTGTAACTGCATGAGACCTCAGGACAACCTGCGATTAGCCTACAAGCAGCGGGGCTCAATGGACAATTTTCAGAGGATATTTGGCCACCTAAACCACTATGAGTGTAAGGGTTACCTTGTTTAACCCCCTAAGTGGCTGTGACGTTTATCCCAGGTCGGCATGGGCCCGGTCCGTATGGCTACTCCAGGGGACCTTAGGGTTCAATTGCCCGAGTATGCCTGAACTACTATATGCTTCTTAGATAAATATCGCAAAATTTCCCTGCTAGCAGAGTAAAGTTATGCCTCTACAGTAATTCACAACTGTCAAACAATTGGCCGGTCGATAGTCCTCATGGAAGTTGCGTGGCGATGGGCGCACGAACGGCCATGTAGTGTGACGCGGCAAATATGGCCAAGCAGCGTGCGTCCACTGTCAAGGTCCCAGCGGATACCAACCTAATGTAACACGACCGGCTGCTCTAAGGTCAACTAATGATACCAGCACGTGGACGCCAAACCCAGGGAATTCCAGCACTCCATTGTTACAAGCAGGCACAGAAACTTGCGTTCTGCTCAATTTAAGCAAGGGAGCTAAACCCACGCGGCTCGCTCGTGCTCGACTAGCGGCTTGTGCAGGTTTCCCTCCGCGGAATACAACAAACTGTATGCGCATTCCACACAATGCAGTAGGCAAGCGGTGGATATTATGACGTCTTACAAATAAATATATTTACACTACGTGGGAGAACTCACTCTGCATAAAGAATGCTTAGGTCCTTATTTCCGGGAAACCGTATCGCCTCAAGGTTGCGCTCGTATTTCGTCCTAGTGTAGCCGTGCCGCATATGGTGGAGGCAATCGTGGATGCAATAGGCCATTTTCCAGTGCGGTACACCAGAAGGTGGCTGTCCGAATAACCTCCATGTGGTGCCAGCTGGGTGTTCAGGTAAATCCCGTTCCAGCAAAATGGTTCCGCGGCAGTGTTCCAGGATGTGGTGGGATTTCGCCCGGCAAGCGTTCTC